CTGCTGGAGTGCGCTAATTAGCATGCGCCAGCAGACTCGATTAATTGAGTCTGCTCCAAAGCGCTGTACTTACAGCACATCAAAGCAGCATCCCCACATGTGTACAGGCATCCTATGAGTTTACCAGCATAAAAATAAAACAAATTCAATAAAAATAAATTAAACTTCTTTCCATTCACTCATCACAATTAAACTCAGTTCATGAGTGTAGGCCTGTTTTTGATTATGGTTGTCAAACACATCCCAGAGCAATATCAATAGATATGAATTGTAGCATTAATATTATTACATTTTTTTCATGAAAAATGTAATATTCACTGCATATTCTACCATTTCTCTGTTGCTTCTGCCTTTTTGTAATATCGATTAAGCAGGTACAATCAAATGGTATAAAATGTCTATGAACAAAAATCAATCTAAAAGCACTGTTACAGTTTAGGTACATGGAACACTTTTAACAATACCGAAAGAAAAAATGTGCTTTACTATACTGAAAAGGAAGTTCAGCATAAGAAAAAAAACATTTAATTGGTCTTGACTTTATATTCTTTGATGTTGTAAAATTAAAATAAAACAAGAATATTCTATATTAACAATGATTCCTAAACAGCAATCATGACTGAAATCAGTGGGATGATGTACAGGTGTGTATGATCAGATTTTAAGTTAGTTATATTAGGGTGGAAGTGAAATACTTTTAGATTAATTGAACAGTCTGGCCTAAGCTTTAAAAACATGGTGAGTGATTCTGTGCACATGGTCTTTCATACACAAATCATTTGTTCCCACAGGTATTCATCAGCAAACATTTGCATTTGCTAATATTACATTCAATCGTCGGGGTGAATAACATTAGAGTGCAGAATTATGCCCGGAGACAAAAAAAGAGCAGAGAACTAGAGACTATATTGAGATAATGTTTGAAAGCGTGGCTGCTAAAACTTATTAATGTTTTGCAATATTTACAACACTCTCACCCAAAGTGACCCTATGGCAATTTATACTCACTGAAGAAGTAGACTTCTAATTACGTGCTTCTAATTGTGTGCCTCTCTGACTGTTATCACCAACACACTTGCACGAGTTTGCGCACATACGTATGTGCACATGCATGCACCAGCAAACACACATGTGCACACAGCTTCTTCCAAAATCTCTTTTTTGTCTTTGAATTAAATTGAGAGGCATAGCACAGTCCTGTGAATTGTTTAAATCCTAAAAAACAGCATATGTACCTTGGAGTTGAATATAAGCCAATAGATGTAACTTTTTTTCCAAAGGAGATGTACCTTTTTTGGTACTAGTCTCACTTTTATCCACATATTAGCCTTTTCAGATTTTGAGAATTCCTTGTGAGGAGACAAACAGAAACAGAAGTGTTATGAAAATCCTTTTACATTGACTGTTATGCTCAGTTGGTGTTACAGTGGTCTTACAATATTCTAGTTACAGTATTGTAAACTAGTTACAGTATTCTAAAACATAACCAAAAGGTGGCAGCCTTCCATCCAGTATCGTTTTGCTAGTGTACTTTCCATGTATATTTTCCGGAACTAGTTTAGTTGGTTAATTGTAAAGAAAAGACTTTAAAACTGAGACCTTGGACTGAATAAAAATATTCTACGTGAATGATAGAAGATTCCAGAATTGTATGTTAGTGCCATTGTATCACTATGTGTAGCTTAGGATTGTTCTTGCTGAGCACTTGTCTGAAAAAGATCCTATGATATTTCAGGCTTGCCCTTAAAAAGATCTGATTTATAGCCTCAGGATTTGCTGTGCAATAGTTAGAGATGGAATAAAACTAGATCATACGATTTCTTTCCCTGATAGAGCAAAAGGTATTTCCCATGTAGATGATATATCAGGAGTTGAATTTCTTATACCCTTGATCTGTTTTCATTCTGTTTCATTCAAGTATGAATAAATTACTTGATCTTTGCTAGAAGGCAAAAATCAAGTTATTTATTCATACCTGAATGAAACAGGATGAAAACAGATTGGTCATGTATTTAATACCCATGAATATATACTCTCTGTGGGTGCCTACAGTTGTTTAGGGGCCGAGCTCTAACTCATGGCACTTTACAGGCCCCCCCACCCCACTCCAACCCAACAGATGTTTGCCTGTTGGGTTGGGGAGGGTGGGGCTCAAGCCCGCCTGCACTGGCCCTGACCAGCAGATGGGGGTGCTCCAGCAGCCTTAGAGGAGGCTGCAGAACCACTCCTCTCCCCAGCTTTGCCCTCTTCCTCCCTTCCCTTCCCCATCCCCCCAGCTCCAGGGCTATCAGCAGGAGAGTGAGGAGGCAGGGGAGGGAGAAGCACACAGCTGCTAGCTGGGCTTTGCCAGACAAGAGCTGGAGTAGGGGCTCAGGATGGAATGGAGCCCCTTCACCCAGCATGCTCCCTCCCCCCCCACCTATCCCAGCTGGGGTATTGGGGGTAGCTGAACCTGCTAGGTGAGGGAGGGTCCATTCCATCCTGTCCCCCCTCCTGCCAGGTTCACCCATAGCAAAGCCAAGCTGGCAGCGCTGCTGCTGTCAAAAGCCCCAGTCAGGGGGTAGGAGAAGAGAGGCCTCCTCTCATATGGACCCCCCCTCCACATTTACCCTGGCTGGGGTATTGGTGGGAGCTGGGCCAGGCTGAAAAGGTAAGGCAGGGCTTGCTTCCCCAACCCCCTGCCTGGGCAGTAGCAGCAGTAGCTTGGCAGCAGTAGCAGCAGCCATGGCCAGAGCTAGGGGGGTGGAATAGAGCCCCCTTGCCTCACAGGCCCAGACTTGCTTCCCCGAATACCTCATCTGAGGTAGCTGTGGGGAAGCAGGGGGGGGTCACGTGGCAAGGGGACTCCACTCCACCCTGCCCCTCCCCTCAAGCTCCGGCCAGGCAAAGTCCAGCTGGCAGCTGTGTGCTGCTTCCTCCCCTTCTCCTGTGAGGCATGGCTGGGCTGGTGATTGCTGGTGCAAGCAGCAGCCCAGCTCTGCAAAGATGCTAAAAATTAAACCTCAATGGAAAACAAGTTCCCTAAGGTGTTGTGTTCAATAGCATCTTTAGCTAATAGCTGATTTGAAAAGGTTAATTTTTCATGTGATCGTCCATTTGAAAAGTGCTCTCCAGCTGTGCACTCCAGGGGCACAATCACACAAAAAATGTAACTTGTATAAGTATCCTAGATGTATTTTTCTAGAGCCAGCTGTTGCAATGTAGTATAGGCTTGAAAGGTACCAACTCCCTGAAAAAATTCAGCATTCATTATTCAGACACCATCCCAGAAAGATGCTTACTTTGCCTCTTCTTGAAAAACCTCCAGTGAAAGATATTTTGAAACTTTCCTAGACAATTTATCTTATTTTCCCCACAGTTCTTACACTTAGGAAGGGTAATGGCAAGCACTAAGAGAGATTATTACCACTAATAAACTAATGACAGTTTAGATTTGCAAAAATTATAGTAAACAGTTTCTAAAATCAAGTTGATAAAAGACATTTTAAAGCACTTAAAAGTACTTCTTAAGATTCTGAAGATTTATTAATGCTTTGGTAATTGCAGAAATTATCAGATAATAGCTCTGATAATCAGCAGAAAAATCTGTATCTTTTTCCTATAGTTTGAAACCATATTTACAGTGGGCCACATGTGCCAAGTACGTGGGGGCCTGTAGGCCCTGACCCCCCTCAAAAAGAGGACTGTCACGTGAAATGTGAAACATCTCCACATGTCCATCATCTTAGCCGCCCTCCTCCTGGCAAAAATAAAAGTTATGCCTATGAAGTGGGCCATATTTAGTCTTGCAGAAGTCAGTGAAAATTCTTCCAGGGCAGAAGAGCAATTTGTTTAAGCTACATCTGTATCTTTATCATATGTGTGCTTCAATACAGACTAGACAAATGACCCCTTCCACATGAAGATTGAAGACATGCCCCTTATGTAAAATGAGTTATGGTGCGGAGAGGTGTATGCAGTGTTCAGACTTTGAAGAGCCTAGGCAGTTTAATTCATGATATGTACATTTTAATTCTCTGCATAGGTCTTTCATTTTTTGTTGATCTGCATGTTTTTTTATTCTTATTTTAAGGCAAAATTCAGACCAATTTTGACACAGTTCAGTTATTTTAAAAAAGGTATAAACTTAGCTTGAACTTTTAACTTTTCTATTGGAGTAAATTGAATATTTTTCTAATTTTCCTTTTGTCATTTGTTGAGCAAAAAAAAAAATAGGTATAAGTAATTCCACACATTATATCAAAAAATCTTTTAAGTAAATCATGCTGTTCTCACCTGAGCACACTCTGATGGCTAGAAAACAGGTTTTGTTATGTATTCACAGATTTATATATTCAGGGCATTAGTAGCAGAACATTTTAGTAACAAACTAGTTTTCTATAAAGGTTTATTTATCAGTCTATTGAGCTAGAAAATAATTGCTCATAACTAAACTTTAAAAGTAGTGCCTGCAAAGCCAGACTTTGACATAAACCGTACTGTGTATTGGCTCAAAAAGAGAATAAATTACCTTAAATGTTCACTTAATATGGTATAATCTTTGACTTGCACAGATTGTTTGCATATGGTGTTCTTTTAGAAGCCATCTGGTTTACTAAATAATTCCCTTCAGCAGTAAAAGCACAGTGTGGGTCTTGGTGGTCTCTTTTGAAATGTTATTGCTATTCTATTATTTTATTCTTTTGTTATGGCTTGCCTTATTATTTATTATATCACTAAAGACCTAGAAATAAAGGCTAAACATCAATGGAAATTAATTTTCAATTGGTATTTGCTAGTTCTTACGGATTTGCTTCCAGACAAGAACATGAAAAATGATGATGGAAGAAAAATGCAGATGGTCAACACGTGTTTGTTTTCTTCATTCGGAAGAAAGATGACAAACAGGAAACTTTCATATTTAAAAATATGCTACAAGGCATATTTTTAATTAAACAAAAGATTGGACAGATAAAAAAGAAAATAAGATTTTTATTTATAAATCATTATCTTTTTTATAGGGTGAACCTGGTGAAGCAGGTAATCCTGGACCTCCTGGAGAATCTGGTACATCTGTGAGTATATTTTAAAATAATTCTGATAAAATAAGCTACGTGGTATAAAATCCTATAGAGGAATTTCTGGTTTCCTATAATCAGATTACTTATGAGATCCTCAGAAGTTTTCCTCACACTTTAACTGAAGAACTGATGTTTATAAAAAGTAACGTATTTGCTTTCAATTATAGCTCACCTCTTATATACTAACAATGCAATTACACTTGTGGACATCTATCTTATCCGAACAAGTTACCATGTATTGTTTAATAAAACTATTTCTTCCAGGTATTACTTTTTTCTTTGTTAAGGGAAAAGTTAATTCAAAATTATAAATCTTCCTGGATGCTAATAGCTAGGTGCACATGTGAATCTAGGCCTGGGTTCTTCTGGAATTTCAACCTGGAGGCTGGTTTGGACCTAGCATTTAGTCAAAAGACAAGTTTTTATGATAAAATTTGATATTTCTCAAAGTTTAAAATGTAGGCTTTTAGTTGTACTTATTTTATAGCTTCCCTTCCATCTTCTGGCTATGCCGTTTTCAGAAAGCAAATATTTTCTATATTTTCTTTTACAGGGCCCAAAAGGTGAAAGAGGAGAAAAAGGTGAAGCTGGACCACCTGGGGCAGCTGGACCTGCAGGTGCCAAAGGCCCTCCAGGTGACGATGGGCCTAAGGGTAATCCAGTAAGTGACAAGTGCATTGGAAGTGTAAACCATTCTTGTGTCAAATAAAACATCAATTCATTTAATAAACGTATAGGGCTATATATGCATTTCTATGGTGTATATTGAGTTAAATATTGTCTCCTTAAAGTATTTTTAAATAACTTTTACACACTTGGTGGTGGATGACATCTGTCTGGTTTCCTTTCCAATTTGTCTAGGGACCTGTTGGATTCCCTGGAGATCCTGGACCCCCTGGTGAACCTGGCCCTGGTGTAAGTATCTAGGCAAATCAATTTGAGAGCCTTATCCTGGTTTCTACTGAAACCAAAGTTAAAATTTTCATGAACTTCAGTGGTAATGTGGTCTAGTCCAGTAGTTCTCAACCTTGTTTGTACCAGGACCCACTTGTAACCATCAATGGCCAGGCCCGACGCAGTACCCCTCACTCCTGACTTGCTGCCCCTTGCCCACAGGACCCAGCCCACCAGTGTGTGGGGCAGGAGGTGGGCTTGTGGGGCAGGGGAAGGGTGTGGTGTGGGGGGCCCCAAGCAGCCCCTCGTAGGCTGGAACTCTGCTACCCCGCAAGGGAAAAGCCACAGTTTCCCATGTTTTACTCCTTCAAAGAAGAATCTGTTTTTTAAGTTTGTTCACAACCCTTTCACTAATTTTTGTGACCCACTTTTGGGTCGCAACTCATAAGTTAAGAAACTCCAGTCTAGCCTGTGAGTGATATTGTTCCAGCTGATTGTGTTTCTGGAATCTTAAAAACTGATACATTTTAATAAAGAGTGTATAATGGAATTATTATTTTTTTAAATAATATCTAATACATTTTTAAGAACATATCCTAGGAAAGAGTAGTGCATCTGAACATACAGTAGCATTGCAAAATTTAATTAAATTAAGTATTGAGCTTCTTTCTCCCATGTTTCTGCAGGGTCAGGATGGTACTGGTGGGGAGAAGGGTGAAGATGGTGACCCTGGTCAGCCTGTAAGTAAACTTGACACTAACAATTTCTGTTTGATGTATTCTTCAACATTAAGAAAAAACCCCAAATTCAAATAAGAGAATATTTTAAAATTATTTGCCTTTTGCATTTATTGTAAACTATCCATTCATTTCTGCACTAATCACAATAAGGCTTTGAGTATGAGTGATCAAATATAGACACAGTTTGTGGTGAGAAATGCGTACCTGGCTTCTGTAGGAAACAAAAGAGATACCCAGATTCCAGTGAAATTCAATGGGCACATCTACACATGCTGTTAGTGCTATAAAGGCATACTGCTCTCTCTGTGCCCTCCCTGTCCCAGTATGGCTCAGCTCCTGGCTCTCCACAGGACTGGGACTGGGGAGCTCTATCCTTCCTTGCCCAGCTCGGTGCTGGCCAAGAGCTGTCCCATGTCAGCCTCTGGTCAGCCCTAGACTGCTCAGGGATTTCACCGCCCAGCCAGGAGCTGGCAGGGAGCTGTTGCAGAAGTGGGACAACTCCTGGCCAGTCCCTGGCTGCTCAGGCATTTTTGGCCAGGAACTGCCTCAGAAGTAGGATTTCCCCGCTTGAGCAGCACCACAATGGGGAGGTGAAGGGGTGGGGAGGGGTAGAGCGCTACCCTGCCCCAGTGCTGCTCAGCTCCCAGCTCCTGTCCTCCTATTCTAGCTTATTTGTAGTAAATATTTATTTTGGTGAACATTATGATTGACAGAATTATCTGTAGAGCTGAATGCCAAGATATAAAAATGCGAGAAGCTAAAACACTGTTATATCTCATACTGGCCTACACACATTAATTTCTTAGATCACATTTGTTTATAATCCTAGTGACTTTAGTAGAGTAACATCAGGGATGAACTTAGTCCTTCATTTTTAACCTTTTTTGGGTGCATTATCTATAATGGAGCATTGGCCTGTGTAGTAAAAGCTGCAAAAATAATTGAATTCTAATAAAAGTGAATGTGAAATTGACAGCAGTTGCCTAGTTCAGTAACAACCAAATCAGCCTCAACAGTGTAGAGAAGCCCACACAAAGGTAGAAAATTGAAAAGCATAAGAACAGTTTTAATTAAATGAGGCAGTTAGCTAACATATTATTCTGTTACACCTTTTAGTTTGAAATGTTTTCCAATAACTAACAAAAGAAAGGGAACAAAACCCCTCAATATGGTTGTGTTTGATTCACTAAAAATCCCAGATCGGGTTCTAAATACATTCAGGCTAAGATTTGCTGAGTAATCAGGCATCATTTTTACCCACATTTCTGATCTTAACCAACTATCAAGTTCTTTTATTTAATGAAAGATGCTATATTATTTCAAATTACATTTGTTGTGCTTAAGGCTGTGTGGGTGGAGGTGGGGTGGGGGAGAGAGACTTTTTTTCTTTACTACCATTCATCAAATGGCCTTGAAATATTACTATGGATCATTTGTATTTTCAGGGTCCACCAGGCCCTTCAGGTGAAGCTGGCCCACCTGGTCCTCCTGGGAAGAGAGTAAGTAATTTCTGTCTCTTGTACATCTTTCTGATCAGGACACTGCATTTTAAGGAGCTCCTAATGGGCTCAGGTATTTGTTATCAGTGTTATTCCTATTTTATATGTTGATTGCAACATTTGAAATATGGTTGGGTTTGTTTTACTACTCAAAGAAAGACATATAGATTCATGATGAGCCTAGAAAGAAGGGGTTTTGAAAAGGTGTCTTTGGCCTGTGTTGGCTTTGAGACTTGTATTAGGATTGGAAAAGAACTCCAACCTCCCAAGGAAGAGTATCAGGAGATAAGGGTCTCCTGGATCATATTGGAACAAAGGATAGATGGAGCATAATTACTGCCACAGTCCATAGTGGTGCAGTGTGTTTGTGGTAGAAAGCACTAATGACCAATGTGAAGCTAAAGAGAGTAGTGGTATGGCTTTAGCCCCAGTCCTATGAGGTAGCAATGGGTACCTGCAAGAGAATGCAGGCCCTTCAGTTGTGGTCAGTTTATGCATCAAATTCAGGAGACACTCCAGGTACAGTGGAAGAAGACATCTTGTTTCTAACCCACACCTGGGATGCACAAAATACTCCATGGTGATTTGCAAAGATGGTACCTGAGTAGTAATTTGTTTTTACAACAAATTCAGCATCATTTTGTTTCCAATCCTTAAAGTCACATTTAATTACTTTGCTTTCAACTCTGGCATACTCTCTTGCAAAGATAAGATAATTTACTTCTTCCAAAAATATGGTTGCCTAAAAGCTCATTAAACTAAGGCAAAACTTGAAATTTCAAAAAACAGATGAATATGAAGAATGCCTTTTGGCAATTAAAACTATGATGAAAGTCACACTTTTTGTGATATTCAAAGTTTTGGAAGAAATAGTTGGGACTTTATAGTAATGAAATAAGTTAGAGCAACAACAAAGCTCTTTTAATTCATTCTGTGGCTGGCCTGCCAATGAAGAATCAGGGAGCCTTAACCATCTACCTAATGGCCACTGCTTGTCCACATCAAGCAGAACATAGACATAAGGAAGTATTGATTCCCTATAACCTTTTCTTGCCAAACAAAAAGCCAGAATGTGCCTTATTTCTTTTGCCCCCAAAAATTCAATTTCTGCCAGCATAAGGAATAGCATTCAGAGGTAGCTTTTTTATTCCTGGACAAAAAATGAGAATCAGTACAGGTTCAGCTGAGTAACTTCTACTGGCTACTTCCAGTAAATTCATATAGCTTCCCTGAAGTTCAAACAATGCTTGAGGCTATCTTTTAGTTACTGAATAATAATTAGATTATAATATATTGTTCCAGCTAGACTTGTTTGTCATTTAGCTAGTTTCAATTTGTGCACACTTTTGACCATATTTAAAATCCAAATTCAAGCACACTATTGTGTAAACATTGCTGACAAACCAGAACAGTCTCATCTATTCAAAGTGAAATATTATGCAGCTGGTGTTGTCTGATGAGCTGTGAGTGAAAAAAAGCATTACATATGGAAATACTGAAAGGTTGATGTTAGAAGGTTAATACAAGACAAAATACTTCAGGAGATCTGCCTTTTATTGGCAGTAGGCAAAAATAATTCTCTAACTCCCATAAAGGACTTTAAAAATTTGCTAGGTATATTAGCAAATATATATTATATTAAATCTAATTTTTGGCACTTGAAATAAAATAAAGTATGCAAAGTATTATGTTTTTTTACCTCCATTATATCCACCTTGTAAACAGCTTTAATAGTAAGCATTTCTGCAATTTATGAAGCCCTCCCATTGTTCCTGTGTCTTTCAAGTATTACAAATGCAGCTAATCGAAATGTGTAAATAATGCTACAACTACAGACCTTTCGTGGATGCATCAGCCTAGGTTTTCATTAAAGTAATTACACACAGTTCTTACTTAAAAAAAAAAAAGATAGCATCATTAAATGTAAGCTGAAAGCTATTTAACCAAATGTGTTAAATTGGTCAATTTAATAGGCTTGAACAAACTGACATACTGAATTAGTTTTATCTATTTTGCTCAATAATCTATTTGCTCCACCAAGTAACAGTATGTTCATAGCACTGCAAATGATTATGGTATCATTAGCAATTTTATCACTAGAATCAGATTACAGCTTGATTGGATATTAGCAATTAATATGTTTGCTAATATCCAATCTCTTCTATACCAAATTTGTATTTGTTCTATACCAAATTACAATTCACAGCTTTATTACCTTGAAAGGGAACCGCTTATTCCCAGCAAAGGATATATTATATTTGATTGTGTTTAGATAAAAGCACAGTAAAAATGCAAGCATTTATCTACACACCTCCAATTTAGTGTTAATAAAAGAGAAAAAACCCTGTGTATATCTCTTGCCAAGTAATCACATTCTTGAGTTCTCTAATAATATACTCTGGAGTAGCAGATTCTGTATTAAATGAATGCTTGAAACCTTAATGCTTGTAGAAAATATTTTGCTATATTTATGTTGCGCTTAAAAAAGATAATGAAGGATTTCAGCCTTCATTATTTTGTTAATGCGATGGTACTCAAACTACCATTTGCTAAACGTAATAAGTAATACAGTAGAATTTGTTTTATCAGGAAACCTAGCAAACATCTTCTCATCTGTATCAGGTAGACATGCCATTTCAACAGCCATGCTGCTGCATACAGAAGTGGAGACTTGTGGCATGACCACTGTATAACTGGAAAGCAACATTCCTTCTAATCTATTTTTCTGTCTGTAATGACAAACTAACTAACCTCAACGTTCATACTTGTAAGTGTGGTCCCTAAACGCCTCTCTTCACCTACTCTCTATATTCACTCTATCATTTATTATGATTTTCTCCCTTCCATTTTTCTTTTTTATTTCCAGGTTTATATCTATATATATATATATATATATGCATGCCAAATATTCAGATGATGTGGAATTTTCTGAATCCGATTTCTCTTCTCAGTCATAATAAATTGTATTTATAACTAGTTTCTGAGTTTAGAAAAATCTGACTTCTTATATTATCACTTCCACATTGTTTCCCTGGGAGATGCCCCAAATAACTAGTTTTTGGTGAAACAGTTCTTTGGGCCAGTAGCATAATTTGAGAGGGGTGCAATTAGCCTCTTAGTAACTAGTGTAACTTAGAAGGCGTGCAAAATACTCTCCCCACCAGAAGTCTTTGCCATGGCAGGAGCAGGCCTATGCCACCTAGTCATAGAAGCCAGGCAATCTTCTGAAGTCAGCAGACTTGGATAAGCTTAGTAAGTGGGTAGATGTAAACCTCATCACGTTCAATACTGAAAAATGCAAGGTACTCCACCTCGGGGGAAAAAAAAACCCGCAGCACACTTATAGGCTCGGCAGTGCTACGCTGTCTTGCACCACGGCTGAAAGAGTCATGGGGGCCATGACTGTCCATAAGATGAACATGAGCCACCAATGTGATGTTGCAGCTGGTAAAGCAAACCAAACTCTGGATTGCATCCATAGATGCTTCTCAAGTAAATCTCAGGATGTCATCTTCCCACTGTACTTGGGCTTGGTGAGGCCGCAGCTAGAGTACGGTATCCAATTCTGGGCTTCACAATTCAAGAAAGATGTCGAGAAGCTTAAGAGAGTCCAGATTCGTAGATTATAGAGTCGGAAGGGACCCAGTGGATCATCGTGTCCGACCCCCTGCCCCTGGCAGGAAAGAGGACTGAGGTCAGATGACCCCAGCCAGGTGATTGTCAAGCCTCCTCTTGAAGACCTCCAAGTTAGGTGTCAGCACCACCTCTCTTGGAACCCCATTCCAGACTCTGGCCACCATTATTGGAAAAAATGTCTTCCTAATGTCCAACCTAAATCTACTTTCCACTAGTTTGCACCCATTATTCCTAGTTACTCCCTGGGGCGCTCTGGTAAACAACACATCCCCAATTCTCTGCTGTCCTCCCCTAATAAATTTATAGGCGGAGAGCCATGCGCATGATCAGAGGGCAAGAGAATAGACCTTATGATGAATGGCTGAGAGTCATGAGACTCTTCACCCAGGAAAAGCGCAGACTCAGGGGTGACCTGGTGGCTCCCTATAAGTACGTAAGTGTTGTGCATCAGGATTTGGGGGAACATCTGTTCAGCAGAGCGCCCTGAGGGATAACAAGGACCAATGGTCATAAACTCCTCCAAGACTGTTTTAGGCTGGACATAAGGAAAAACTTCTTTACTGTCTGAGCCCCCAAGGTCTGGAATAGACTCTCTCCAGAAGTGGTGCAGGCACCTACTCTGGACTCATTCAAGAAACATTTGAATGCTTATCTTGCTGGGATCCTTTGACCCTAGCTGACTTCCTGCCCCATGGGCAGGGGGATGGACTTGATGATCTTCAAGGTCCCTTCCAGCCCTAATGTCTATGAATCTGTGAATCAGTCTACACCAATAGTATGTGGAGGGTGGGGTTGAATGGAACAGTGCCCCTTTCCCATGGATTTGTGCAATGGGAGCTGCAGCTCCTCACCCAGTAGCATATCTGGGGGTCAGGGGGCGCATATGGTAAAGACCAAACAGGACACCAGGGGCAGCTCCTAGGAAGCTTGTTTTGTCTACTGGGCAAGGAGCTGCATCTCCAGTAGCAAAACTCCTTTGGGGTAGGAGGTGCCATTCAACTTGACACCTCTCCACCTTAATGCACTACTATGCACAGGGCCTTCTATGGTGCTGCACCTGCCATAGCAAAGTCTCCTGGGGGATGGATGATAGCATATTCTGGTGCCCCCTACTGCTTTGCCAGGGAGGCTGCAGGAACTTGGTACACCTTTGCCTTGGGCAGAAGCTTATACAAGAAGAGGGGGTTTTAATTGTGGCATAATTATCTATATAGTATGCAAAATGAAGTGAATATGTTCTGGAAGAAATTAACTAGGTTCTGGTTGATTTAGGTTATTATTAATATCTTACAGGCTCTGCTTTTTGGAATTAGCTATTCATGGATGAATTCAGACATATACTTATAAGGCAGTGATTCTCAACC